TTCAGAGTCCTGCCTTTGTCCCAGTCTCTTTTTTGCGGTTAGTAAAAGGCTTTATGAGTTTGAATAAAAGTGAGCCTTGGTGGTTGGGCAGTACTCCTCTTGCTCCATGTGTCCATTGTTTCCTTCTCCCTACCTTGGTGGTTCTCATACAGGGTTTTCAGCATGCTGCCATCCCATTGTAGCTAGAGCATAGCAGTGGGGGAAAGAGGTGGTATACGGTACAGAGAGAGGGGAAAAACAACACGCCTTCTCGTTCCAACTTTTTCTTTTTAATTTTAGTTTTTTGGGGCTCTATGGTGTGTTCATCCTCAGTATTCAGACAAATCTTTTCTTATAGGGGTTCTCCTGAGACCTTGGAGAGGTGTTTGAGGAGATAGTCTTCTATAATTTCCACTGTAATAACCAGTTAGTTTATTCTCTTCGGGAATACCACGTATCTGCCTTCTTTCTAACATATTCTTCGTCTGGGTTTCTCACCCTTACTGGTTATGTATTTATTAAACAAAACATGAGTTTTTGCTGCTTTTTCACAAAAAAAAGCATACTCAAATTGAGCTTCTTTTTGTGCCTTTTTCTAGGTAGATGGCAGTGTTATCTGTCCATCTCTCTGAAGCTCACTGGTCAGTTGCTATGAACCTCATTAGATGAGGGTGGGAGGTTGGGCAGCTTTCCACAGTATAAGGTGTTCTCCAGGAAGTTGTCAGGTGCAGAATCCACAGTGGCTAATGGAGAGAACTGGAGTAAGTCTTGTTAGAGAAGCAGCCTCTGAAGCCAGCTCGGAAGAGAGCAGTCCCTTCCTTATAGTTGCCCTTGTTGTAGTTGGTCCTATGGCCACGTTTCTTATATTTTGCTGCTGAGAACACTTGTCCCTCAAAAAAAAACGTTCTATGGTCATTTAAAGTTGAAAAGTACAGTGATGATGTGCCTCTCTTGAAAGTTGCCATTGCACATTAGCACACTAAAGGCCGAGAAGCCCTACGTTGAAGAAACCTGTTTCACTCAATGTTAACACTTGACCATGGAATTTAAAATCATAAAATGCTTATTAACATGTTGTGGAACACCAGTGTTCATGAACGTGATCTGGGAAACACTGGCCTATGGAGAGCAAAGAGAGGCCAAAATAATTAGAAAGAAGGTTTGGTTTTAGATGTCCAGTATGAAAGGGACATACTTTTTCAGAAAAAAAAAAAGAAGGAAGTTTGGATGACTGAGGGCTTTAGTCTGGCCTGCCAAAATAATAGAAAAGATCCCCCTGCTTCCAGATTGGAGTTCTGAACCCTTATTGTACCTTGGTATACATTGTGATCTTGCCAGAGAGAAAGTGTCTGGCCTTTCTCCCGTTGGGGTTGTATCCTCTGATGTATTCTGGAACAGTTTCTCAGAGAAAATTCAGTTTTGATCAATTCTGCCGTGGCTTCATGCCAGTTCCTCCCTGCCTTGGGTGCTCCAGATACGAAAGAATTGGTTTTCCCCTGAGACATTGCTCTATGGCAGCACAGCACGTGGAGCGGAGGGAAAAACAGCCGCTTTGTTTTCTCCAGGAGCCCAAGGCCATCATTATCCCACACTAAATCACTGCTAATCTTGCAAGACCACTTCCTGCAACTAATCCTTTCTAGCTTTTCTTCTGCCTCCACCCCAAGGTCTGGACTGCCCTGGCCTTTACATTTCCTTCTGGTCTTGAAGGCTCTATTAACATGAACATTTCCAGGTTTAGTGCCTTCTGATTCAACACCCTGGGTCTAGCTGAGAGCTAAAAATACTATCCTTTCCCGCTGATCTGCCGTAATCACAATAGCACCAACACTTTAAATAGCTTTTGTGTGCCAGAGCAGACATTTGACAGATGGAACTAACACTGAGGGCTACAGGAAGTCACAGGCTTAAAGGACTTACCAACCTAGCATTGAGCTTTTACTTTTGCTCTTCCATTTCTTTGTAGAAAAGAAAGAAGAAACCCTCTTCCCAAGCCTTAGTAATTAATCAGATCTTAATAGAAAGGTGTATATGATAAAGATGCTTATGGTGCCACTCATTGTGTAAATACTAGAAAATATTAGATCAGAAGGGGACTAACGTATGGGTCTCCCTGCTTTCTAGCACTGGTATGAATCTGTTTTGCAGCTTACCATTATAGCTGCATTTGGGGTTAGGACATGTCTGGGACCATTATCTTAAGTGCACAACAAGTAGTTCCATCTCCAGCCATATCCAAAAAGGAATCTTTCTGGCAACTGTCTACAAGCTATTTTTTTTAATTGTTTATTATACTCTGAAAAGCTCAGAGACGTTATATCTATGTTCACTAGATAGGCACTGTATTAAAGGGACAAATATTTCTTCTGGCATGGAGACTAGGTAAGGGTGAGTTCTATTTCTTTGTTTTGTCGTGGTTCTCCCCCTCCTTAGAAACATTTCATAAATGGAAATGCTTTGCCAGCCAGCACTTAAATATAGTTTGGTTGTTCAAATGGTAAAAAGTGTTTTTTCAGCAGTCATAGTGGTTTTGAGCTTGCTAGTGAATACCACAGCTGGGCCCCAAATGCAGAACCCCTTCCCACTCTAAAATGAGTACCGTCTTCACTCTTACGGCTGCTGGAAGAGGTGTGACCTTACCTAAAGTAGGAAGATGAAGGAAGGAAGCCCACATCCACACCTTCTAAGATTTTAGGTCCCAGACCCAAAGAGCTAAATCTGGAGGAGAAGACAAATGATCTTGAAGAAATCACATCTCGAAGCAAGTATAATCATATATGAACGTCTTTTTTAACTCTATCTTTTGGGGCAGATCTCAGTGTCTTAACATTACCACCTCATCTCAAACTCTCACAACTATAAGATTTCATGTTGTTTCCCAAGAGTTCAGTGTGTGAAAAAAAAACTATGATGTCTCGTCAAGAAGTCTATCCTAGAGCCAGCCCTATGGCCTAGTGGTTCAAGTTCGGCACTCTCACCACTTCAGTGGCCCAGGTTGGTTTCCCGGTCACGGAACCACACCACCCGTCCGTCAGTTGCCATGCTGTGGCAGCAGCTCACGTAGAAGAACTAGAACGACTTACAACTAAGATATACAACCATGTACTGGGACTTTGGGGTGGGGGGCAAGAAAGTCTATCCTAGTCTGGCTGGAAAGCCTCCTTACATCTGGCTCACATTACCATTCTTATTAAGTACTTTTAACAGAGTCTGATCATTTTGCCATCTATACATCCTCAAGCTCAAACCTAATATCTAAGATTTGTAAAAATTGACTCATACATACTTAAGTTATAGAACCTCCCTCCATTCAGTCTTCTGATAAAAATCATGATACAGCCATTCAACAGGAGCAGAGCCAGGTTCCTGGCCAGAATGCTTCCAAATATATTAAAGTTACATCCATTCAACTTGCTTATTCTACCTGGCCGTTTGCCACGTTTTCTAATACTGGGAGGGGTGAGTATGTATGTGTGTTTGTGTGCTTCCAGCTCTTAGTCTATCATCTCTTACATAGGTGGTGAAATCATGAGAACTCTGTAGGAATCTGGGCTTTGCTATATACATAGTCTAGACCATGTTTCTGCTTCTGCAACAAGGTGGCTCTTCAGTAAAGGCTGCTACTGTGTATCTTGTTTCCTTGGAAATGGGCAAGATCCTTGAAAGTTAGGAATGGCTTGTACAATTTAAAGCAAGCCCACAAGTGTTAAAGACAGTGCTGTGAAAAGGCATTAGCCGAACTGCAGCTGTTGACGTTGCCTGCCAACCCAGTCTAAGCTGCAAGGGCCCTTTGTTGTGAGAATGACCCCCCCCCAGAAGGTGATTAAAAAGCATATTGAGGCCCCCTCCTCCAAAAGTATTGCATGTAACTACCCTGAGATACACTTTTTGGCTCCTCAAAGACAGCCAGTTCTTAAATTATAATTATTCTGCTTGGTGTTAGTGAAAACCTTGAAAATAAGAAACGAAATGTTACATATTAACTAAGTGTGGTGCAAATGTGTAATAAATGGGCTTTAAGTCCCTCCTCCCCTGAGCTCTCACTGGTTTGAATGTGGGAGAAAGATGTCAGAGCAAGAACTACCTCCAAAATTAGCCCACATATGAGTAGATGGTTTTTAATGCCTATGGCATTATGTACATATCAGCATCTCCAACACCTGAGTCAGTCAATTCACAGGTTTTGATGGCAGGTACCCATTGTGTCTCAGATACTGTGGGAAACACAGTAATGAAAAACTCCAGGATCCCTGTGCTCAGAGAGCTTACTGTCTAGGAGAGCAGAAAGACTGTGCCATCATAGCAACCTTTTCCTAGAGAGCACAATAGAATATAATAGATTTTTATGTGGAGAGAATGGGATTCCTGAAGTCGGTGTGAGTAATTCAAATTCTCATCGGAAATGAACATCATAAACTATCAATAAAGAAGCAGTGTTTATCATCTCTATTCTTAAGGTTTCTTTTTCTCTGTTGCTGCAACATCTCTCATATTAGCAATAAGAGAACAAGGAGAGAGAAGTGACCTTTAATTCTAGAACATTATGTCTCTTTGATGCCGTAGTCACAAGGAAGACCCTAAACACCAACCTGTTCTTGCCCTGGGTTGGTGACTACAAAGGCCTGCACTATGACCAGCAGCAGCAGCAGCTGGGGTTACAGGGCCTTGTACCAGTCGTCTTTGCACAACTTCAGTCTTTCTCAAAGTCTTTTGTTGAGACAGTTTGTTTCATTACTAGTTTGGAGGCGTGGTATTTCCTACAGGCTTAAGAAATCATTTGCCTGCTTTAAAAAACAAAAATCTTAAACATCCAGGTTAATAATTTTGATTTGCAGGATTTCTGCAACTGTGTGCCCTTTTCTGATCCTGGCAGTTGAGGCCAGAGTGGCTCACGGTGAAGTAGCAGCAACTCGGGAAGCAGTGTTAAGGATTTGATTGTCAGTCTGTGTATCCCCATGGATCTGGGACCAGCGTTCCAGGAATGAACACTAAGGTGGCAGTTACTGTGGCACACCCATACACCCATTTCTGTCTTTGTCTTCTTGAGAACATTTTTACCTGTCTAGCACCTAGTTTAAGACTAACAACTCCTGGGGCTGGCCTGGTGGTGCAAGCGGTTAAGTGCGTGCGCTCCACTGCGGCGGTCCAGGGTTCGCCAGTTTGGATCCTGGGCGTGCACCGACACACCGCTTGGCAAGCCATGGTGTGGCGGTGTCCCATATAAGGAGGAGGAGGATTGACAGATGTTAGCACAGGGCTGATCTTCCTCACAAAAAAAAAAAAAAAAAGACTACCAACTCCTTAGACACATCGTAATCTCTACAGATAATTCTCACACTAAATGCTTAGTTGCACCTTATTCTGTTTTCTGTCCTGGAATCTGATAGGCAGGCATTTCAAGAGCCTGCTCCTCACCTTTTGCTGTTGTGGGTCAAGGGCTTTCTGAAATGTGCACATGCGCATGTGACGGTACTTGTCAGGGGACTTGAGCACACATGGCTCGTAAGGGTGTCAGAAGAGAGTTAGCTCTCATTTGTTTGATATTTTAACTGAAGGTGATGGATTTTGAATCTGTTTCTAGACACTGTTTCCAGCAAGTTGCAAAACAACAATGTTTATACTATTGCCAAGAGGAATGTGGAAGGGCAGGACATGCTGTACCAGTCTCTGAAGCTCACTAATGGCATTTGGATTTTGGCTGAGCTACGTATCCAGCCAGGAAACCCCAATTATACGGTAAGGCCTTTCTCAGAATGGGTGAGATGGGTTCAAGGAGGGAGGTAAGAGCCCTTTCCTTTCTTTTTTTCTTACCACCCTGGAAAGTCCTCGAGGGAGGCGCGTTAGAATCCAGGTATCCAAAACAAGCTGTCAATGAAGAAGTCCCCAGTTGCCTCCCTGGAACACCTTCCCTCTGCATTTGTCTGCCCATCCAACAGGCATGGTGCCTCTGGCAGCAAGGAGTGCCTCAGACTCCCCCTGGTATATAGAGAATTGCTCACAAAACTTGACAACTTCATCAATATCAGTTAATGCTTATCTAGCGTATCTGTGCGTGTGGTACTATAACAAGCTGCTGAGAGGACTGTTTACATGGCTCATTTCAAGAAGGCCTTTTTTCCTGCTTTTGGAGTTGATGACCTAAGAATTTCAGAGTCATAGATACATGAGCCTTTTTTAGCAGCGTTGTATGTCCTGAAATGCTCGTTGTGAAAGGTAAGACAAAATGGGACACGCCTTTGGCAACCTGAAAGGGGACCTTAATTTGGAAAACTTCCTTCAGTACCACACTGGACTAAAATTAAAATTCTGGCCGTGTTTTTAGGGCAGGAGCAACTGCCTTGTTAACAACAAAGATTGATCCCCTAGGCACTGGGCATTTGTTTGCTGGTGAAAAATGTGATCTCTGCTGCTTGTCATCTTTATTTTGTAAAGTAAAAGAAACCCGTTAGGATGAGGGAAATATCTTATTCTTCTGTTATGTTTGAGGATTTTGTAGGCTGTTTTGAAGGAGAGGATAGGAAAGTGACAGAGGAGAACAGGTTCAAAATTGAATAAGGAAGCTGAACAGTCAGTAGATAAGAGAGCTTTTCAGCCATTTAGCTGAGAAAAGTCAGTGACCCCATTCCTTAATTTATCAGCCAAGTCTGTTTTCATTAGCATACGCCGAGGGAATAGTACCACCCAGAACTGAAAAATTTTAGTGTTTTCCCCACTCGTTCCCTCCCTTGAAGTAAGCTGGAATAGCATATATGTGTGAGCTGAGAAACTTCAGGCTTCCCCCATAAAGTGTACGCTCCTCCCACCCATCTCCTCCATCACCAATCCTTTGTCTTTTTTTGGAAAGAAACTACTCTGTCATTTATCTTGAGTTCCACAAGAAAGGAAAACCGCTCTGCCTAGGGGGCCAGATTTTCACTGTAAAATCAAGGTCTTGTAAGATAACTCCATTTATTTCCCTAGAAATTTGCTCAAAGTATGATGTATATATGTGTGTGTGTGTTTGTTTTTTTATCATCCATTATTTATTGTATACAATCTTCCATCTCAGCTAGGTTAAATAAGGATGATTATGCCCAGTTTGCAGATAAGAAAACTAAGGTTAAGAATGATTAGTGACTTCTTCAAGATCATATAATTTGTTGGTAGGTGAGTTGTGCTTAGAATTCAGGTATCTCTTGACACTTCCTGCCACATTCTTTCTATTCATTATAAGTGTAGTGAGAATTTTGAGAAGGACCTCTTAGTATCACTGCCCTAAACATGGTTTGTTTAAACATTTTTTTAACTTTTTATTTTGAAATAATTTAAGGCTTAGAAGAAGTTTTTAAGATGGTACATAGAGTTCCCATGTATCTTTCATCTGGTTTTCTCCATTGATAACATATTACACACCCATAGTACATTTTCAACCTGGAAAGTGATATTGGTACAATATTATTTTTTTTTTTTTCCCCCCAAAGCCCCAGTAGATAGTTGTATGTTATAGCTGCACATCCTTCTAGTTGGTGTATGTGGGACGCGGCCTCAGCATGGCCGGAGAGGCGGTGCGTCAGTGCACGCCCAGGATCCGAACCCGGGCCGCCAGTAGTGGAGCGCACGCACTTAACCACTAAGCCACGGGGCTGGCCCTGGTACAATACTATTAACTAAACTATAAACCTTATTCAGATTTCACCAGTTTTTACATTACTCTTTTTTTTTTTTTTTTTTTTTTTTTTTTTTTTTTTTGGTTGAGGAGTGTACAGTACTATGAAATCCTATCACATGTATAAATTTGTGTAACCACCACCACATCAGGACACAGATCTGTTCCATCACCATAAAAGACTCCCTCGTACCATCCCTCTATAGTTAAACTCGCACCCCAGCCCTAACCCTGGCAACCACTGACTGATACGTTCTCCATTACTATAATTTTGTCATTTTGAGAGTGTTATATAAATTAAATTCATAGAGCATGTAACTTTTTGAGACTGGCTTTTTCCCCTTAGCATAATACCCCTGACGTCCATCTAAGTTGTTGCGTGTATCGAGTTTGTTTTTTTTTTAATGACTAAGTAGTAGTCCACTAAATAGTGGGTGGTACCGTAAGGACTGATGGTCCCTTAGTCTCCTAAGAGAGGTTGATAAATCACTTCTCTCACCCCAGTCCTTACTATATTTCGTTAAGAGGATATGTTTCTCCTATAAGGATTAGGCCACATCTCTCTAAGTAGCTGTATCTCACCGGGAAGATATCTTGTCCCAGGTGAAGAAGTATGTGTTCCAGCCTTTAAACCAGAAGTAGATGTGTAAGTCCTTGGCTTACTTAGGCAAAAGAGGTGACTCCTCTTCCCTTGGTGGGTCTACATGGGTGGCATTCCTGAGTAATTGGTATTAAAGATGTGTCACATAAGCAGCTAGTAGTTTGAAAGTTAAAACCCTGGTAAGCCCTCTTTTCCCTTAGGAGCCGAAAAAAATGAGACCCAGAGTTCCAGCTATATTTTATGAGTCAGATGATTAGACTTCTTTGTTCTTTATGTATGTTTCCCTTTTACTTTCTTCAGAATTTAATAATTTTTTTAAAAAGTTCATTCCAGCTTGTCTTAGCTATGCTAGTTGAAAATGAAGGGATGGGTTTTAGTCTAAACTTAACCCTTTGTTAAAGGCTGGGATGGCTAGAAGAGGAGGGGTGATATGAGAGTCCAGAGGGAGAGAGCTGTTCTTCCTTTTCTTTTCTTCCCCTTCCTCCAAAGAGCAGCTGAAGCTCTCAGGGTCCAGGCCTGGTCAGTCCATGACACGCCGTCCCGCCAGTGCCAACCTTGGCAGATTGGGCTTCTGTTGAGGAAGGCAACGTTTCCTTATCCATCATGAACAAAAAATGAACCTCCAACTGTCAGAACTTCAAGTGTTGTTACAAAGATGTGAAAAAATATAGGACAGTATTTTGAGGGAGAGGAACTACCCCTCTTTAGTCTGGGAATTAACTCCCTTAGGCTGTTCTCTCTCTAGCTTCCACTCTTCCTCCTCTTCTGAACCCACATACTCTCCCATGAGAATTTTCCACAGCATTGGCGGTGAAGAGGCTGTGGAGGAGGAGGGACAGAATTGCCTCTATAGGGACGTTGAAGTCAGGGAGATGTCTATAGCTGCAGCTTTGGCCAAAGTAGGGAGCTGTTTTCTATGCATATTTATATTCTTAAGTTAGTTGTTGTTTTGTTTTACATTTATCAGAATTGTCTTCCTGATTAATGTTAAGCAGCAGTTTTTGAAATGCCTTAGAGACTGAATATTAAGGCTGTAAATAAATAGAGCCTCTTTTTATGTTCTTTTTTGTTTGTTTGGCTTGTTTTTTTTTTTTTTTTTGCATTTTTAAAATTTCAGTTTAAGTTTTGAGGATGTGAGTTTTTTCAAGAAATTCAGAGTTGACCAAGATCATCTTGACATTTTTGCCAAAAATATTCTCACCTTTTGTACTGTTAAATCATCCAGAGTCTCTAATAAGAGAATACAGAGGTAAAATAATCTAAAATCTCATGGTGATTTAGATTAGTAAATCTAAATAGTTAAAGACAACTTTTGTTAATCTCCCTTAATAGACGAGAGCAATGATATCAGTAATACAAAAAGCAAATATGAATTTTCTGGTTCTAAATGCAATTTGCATGCTACTACTGTTATATTATTATTGATAACGTTCTGCCTAATTTAATACAATTAAGGAGTCCAAATGTGGGTATAAATTTTGTGCTTGTTGACCCATAAAGTGAAAATCTCAGTGTTCAACATTGAAATCTTTTCAATATTTTAATTTTAATTTGGTGGTTGTTAGACTGGAAGAAGAGGTGGTAGTAGAGAAGTAGTAGTATCAGAAGTATCTGATTCGCTTGTCTAAATAGGCAGAAAATAAAAGATTAAGCTAAAAAAAAAAAAAAAACATGGCCGGCCCGGTGGCGCAGATGGTTAAGTGCGCGTGCTCCGCTGCGGTGGCCCAGGATTCGCGGGTTCAGAACCCCGGGCGTGCACTGACACACTGCTTGGCAAGCCATGCTGTGGTGGTATCCCATATAAAGTGGAGGAAGATGGGCACAGATGTTAGCCCAGGGCCAGTCTTCCTCAGCAAAATAAGAGGAGGATTGGCAGATGTTAGCACGGGGCTGATCTCCTCACACACACACAAAAAAGAAAAATAGGATGTTTGTATGCTAATCAATAAATTATTTAAAAAAAAAAAAGATTAAGCTATTGGCATGAATTGCTGTATGGTTATACTAAGTAAATGTCTTTTTGTATTCTTGTTTTCCATCCGTAAGAGTGTACACTCTCCTCAGTATAATACAGAAAAGACTAGTACCTTGGACCTACCTAGCTTATGCTGTCATTTTAGTTGATTGTACATCCTTCCGAATTAGGACTGAGATAACCATCCTTGTCAGACTGAGAAACTGAGACAGACAGCTTGAAATGACCACCAGAAAGTTAAGGATTTTAGACTTTCCTTTTCATTTGGTAATGATTGCTATGACTCTTAGCAGAGCATTAGAGCAGCTATTCCCCTCCAGTCAGAGACTTTGATGTTTTTAGTATGGATTATTTCCTAACCTTATGGACCCACATAGAATGTAGGTGGAAAGACAGTACAACTTGATGTTGATTAAGTTGAAATTCTAAAACCCACAGAGCCTGTTAACAGGGTCTCTTTGGCTGCTCAGTGATGGAAGCTCCTCTCCCACTGTATCAGAAAGAGTCTGGTTTTCTTGAACTGAGTTCTTGGACACCTTTCAAGTTAATGCCAGTCTCCAGGCTAATCTTCCTTCTCCTTTTCCTCCCAACAGCTGTCGCTGAAGTGTAGAGCTCCTGAAGTCTCTCAGTACATCTATCAGGTCTACGACAGCATTTTGAAAAACTAATAGACTGGTCTGGTGCCCTCCGGCCACCCTGTGATCGGTGCAAGCCAAGAACTCTTAACTGGAAGAAGTTGTATTGCTGTGTAGAATCCGAACCCAAACACACTGAGGCCACCCACCAAGGTAGTGACTAGTCTAACCTGTGCTGACATTAGGGCACAACCTGTTGGATAGTTTTAGCTTCCTGTGAACATTTGTAACCACTGCTTCAGTCTCTTCCCACCTCTTGCCACCTGCTGCTATCTGTCCTTACTTGTGGGCTTCTCCATCCTGTGCCAATGGCTGGCATTGTTGAGTGTAGTTTGATATTTTGTAAACAAGAGCTCGTTTCAAAAACAGAAAAAGACAAAAAATATTAAAGCAAGGAAAAGTGTCACTGAAACATAAACTGCACTTTATTGTTTTATATTTTTGTACATATGAGAAATTGGGGGAATAGTATAACCAGTAGAAAGTGCTAAAACAACTGGCCATTGTTAACCGCACAGTCCTGGAGGAAGAGATGAAGTTACTTGCCCACCCTGTTAGGGGTTCTCTTATCTGTGGCAACCTTGTCCCTAGTCATTTGGGTTTTCCCCTTTTTTCTCTCTCCGAACTCCTTTTCCTTGTGATTCCCCCTGCCCCGGATTATCTTCTCATTTGATTGCTCTGCAGTTGGGAATGGTGGTCTTCCTTGAAAGATGTTTTGGGGGCAGGAAATAGGGCCTGTCAGCACCAAGGCTGAGAGCAGTGGGAACTTCCTACACTCCTTTCCCTTGATCTAACCCATTAATAAAACTGACTAAGGGATTTGAGGAGAGATGGGGAATAGGAACCAAAATGCTCTCCCCCGCCCCTTCCCTGGGTTTGATTTAATTCTCAGGTCCAATTCAGATCTAAAACCATCGTTTTAGAGTTGAAACAGACTTTAAGTAATAACTTACCCAACCCTATTTTTCTAAAAAGGAAAAGGATAAAAGGCAGAAAGGGTGTTACTGCCTGAGGCCTGTTAGTTGTTTAGTGGTGGAGCTGGGGGACCGGGTCTCCTAAACCCCCGTCAGTGCTGTTTTCACTGCAGGAGTGTCTCGTTAATTTTCTTTTCCTCAATACTTTTCTCTTGTCTTTTCTGTGCCTGCTTCTCTGTGGCTCCTCTCACCGTCCATACTGATTTGGGCACTCCATTCATTGGCATCAGGTGGGAGCAGAGTAGCTTTTCAGTTACTTGAAGAAATCCAGATGCCAGAATGAAGGAATGGCTCATGTTTCCCCAATTGCTCCTGGAGCTTGAGGCCAGCAGGGTGACTGCAGAGATGAAGTGAGCTTAGAGATGGCACAGAGTCCCTTTATCCCTTCAGCTCTCTGATCTGCTCTTTACTCATGTTACTTTGGCTCCAAGGCAATTGAGATCATCCAGAGAGTCAAGCGGTTCTTGTCATCTCTAAAAGACTGGGGGATGTGAAATCCCCTTCCTTTACACATTGGTGTGATTTGTCAAAGAACCTTCCTGCCCAAAACACTAACATATTAGCACTGTTCTCAAGGTTTCATCTGTGGGCACTTGTGTTGCCTGGCACCCAGTATGCAGGGTCCATGACCAAGACTGCTTCTCACATGCCCCTGCTCATATCAGAGGCACTTTGGGGTCCAAAGGCCTCATGTTGGACTCAGACCTAAGAGTGAGTCCAAGAGGAGAATTCATGGAAAACAAGAGCAGGAACTACCCCCAGCCCTGTCATGTCCGAAATGACCCTGATTCATACCATTTGCAAAGCTTGGGGGAGTGAATTCCCCAAAGCAGTTTCTTAAACCTCGAGAAGCTGCAAGAGAATTACTGAGGTGGGAGAAAGGAACTCTATCCTGAGCTCACCACCCCTCAGGCACGTGGAGAATAGGAAGTAGCACAGGATTATGCATGGGAGGTGGGTAGGTTGGTGGATGTGGGGTGGGAAATCAGGTTGATCAAGTTTCCTTGTTGGGAGATCATTCATGGAGTCAGTTGGATACAAGCAGTGAAGAAGGTTCACGCTACAAATACGGGGTTCTCATCTCAAAGCAAACTGTAGTTCCAGAAGGAAGAGTGTGTGTCAGGGTAAGCAGACAACACAGTTTTGTACCAGGATATGTCTCTCTGCCCCTGAAACTAGGCTTCTGTCAGCCTCCCCAGCAGTGATGGGTAACTGCTGCTGTTCTCAGCTGACCTGACTGAGCCAATCCGAGAACTCTTCACTCCTCACTCCTCAGGAAGGCTGCCTCCCCGTTGCGCCCCTGAGCAGTTAGGGAGGGATTCTGCTCCATGGAAAAGGACCTGTCTCCTGAAGAGACTGCACCTGCTGCCTCCAACACAGCTTCCATTTTGGCCCATTTCAAGCTTGGCCAAGTTGGGGAAACGGAGTGGAGATTGCAGTTCGTTCCCCTCTCCTCTGCATCAGTATGTCTTTGTAACCTGAGCTGGTGTCATACAAAGGGCAAGGGAAGTGCACACACACCCAGAACTCTTTTGCTGGTCAGAGATTCCCTGAGTGTCTGTCCTCGCCCGAGCCTGTGCCATGAGTCTGTGTTGTGAAGCTTGGGACTCTGGAGAGGAATGGGGATGGGGAGGGGTAAATGTTGCCCTCAGAATGCTTAACATTCTTTTGTTGTTGGGATCTGTTCTTGGGGAGGGAGGGGGTTGGGGGAAGCTTGACCTTTTGTCTTCGTCAATAAACTCTCATTTACACAAAACAAAGTTTGTGGTCTGTACTTTGTTCTTGCAGCTGATGCTCTAGGACAAAACACAGCTGGCCATGGGAGGGATGGGGCATTAATAACCACGCTATTAAAACTTTTCTCTGGCTGTCCTAGCCCTCCCAGGGATTTAGCCAGATGAAATGAAGGTTGGTGTGAAGAAGAATCCTGTACATCTGGGAGGCTCCTGCTATAACCAAGCCCCGTGTCACCACCACCACCACCTGAGGCATCTTGCCACAAGCAGGGAGTGCTCGGAGAGCCAGTCCATCTTCCCTGGCAGGTCCCCTGCTGGGGCCTCAGGCAGATGGTCCCAGGGCAGCCAGCCAGCCAGCAAGACACAGGGGCAGAAGGAGCACAGCAGAGCTTTGCATCAGTTTCCTGTTATCCGGGATGGTTCACTAATCTCTCAATTTATAAAAGCCTCTCAGACTTGGACTCAGGGCCTGCATGTTCCCAAGTGAGTAGAATTAATGCCGCTTTAAAGCACACTTCCCAAGGAGCTCAAGTCTAGTCACCTGCACTGTGTTGCTGGGGGCACATGACCCAGGCGTTGTCCAGGTGGAGGCCCGCCCCTGGGTTCTGATGAGCAAACAGCTTCTGAAGTCTCTCAGGGATCCAACACGGAGATGACCTTGGGCTGGTCCCTGAACCTTTCTCACCAGTAGAGTGAGTGTAGGTAGGGCTTTGCATAGTGCTTGGCATGTAGGTGCTCAGAACAGTAACTGCTTTATATTACTTGGATGTCCAAACACCATAAACCAGCTGCATTTGGCAGCTATGAACTTTCTGGTTGTCTGCACGTTGCTGGGCTGCAGTTAGCCCAAACCACAATAGGAAGAACACTTTGAGGGGAGTGGGGTTAAGTGGTCTTTGCTGAGGTTCAGAGTCAAAGATAAGAAGAGGGATAGGCCTTACTGAGATCTAACTGGGTTCGGCAGCTAAGAATGTGGGTTTGGGCCAAGAAAATACTTAGGGCAGAGGCTCTTAACTTTTGGGTGCACAGTAATATCACCTGAGAGTTTTCAAAAAAGGCTGATTTTGTTCAGCCAGTGTGGGGTAGGACCTGGGGGAATCTGCATTTTAAACTCCCCAGGTGTTTTTTGGGGTTTTTTTTGTTTGTTTTTTGGTGAGGAAGATCAGCCCTGAGCTAACATCCATGCCAATTCTCCTCTTTTTGCTGAGGAAGACTGGCCCTGGGCTAACATCCGTGCCCATCTTCCTCCACTTTATATGGGAGGCCGCCACAACATGGCCTGACAAGTGCTACGTCGGTGCATGCCTGGGATCCGAACCCAGGCCGCCAGCAGCGGAACATGCGTACCTGCCCACGTGTTTCTAATGTGCAGCTGGGGTTGAGAATCACTGCCAGAGAGAGTCACACTTGTTTGCCTACTCGTCCACAGTAACAGTCATATTCTCGTGGCAGTTGGAAAATGGTAAAGCACTTTCATGCACATGATACTTGCCCATTCCATGAAGTGAGCATTATACTCATTTTTCAGGTGAGATGCTGCAGAGCCACGTTTTCTGACTCCCTGTCTGTGTCCTTAAACCACACAGCAGCTTCCCCCCTTGTTCCACTGAAGGTTCCCTAATAGGCCCTCACCTCCCTCTGTACTCAGCCACCAGCCCAACGACCAACCTTGCTAAGCCTCCAAGATGCTGGTATGTTCAGTCTTCAGAAGCAGGGTACACTGCCCCAGAGTTCCACCTGAGATTGCACAGTCCTTCTCTGCCCCCAGAATGGCGACTAGGAAATACTGAGATCTCAGGTACGTTGTTTCTGAGGCCAGAAAACAGCTGAGGACTCCCAGGTTTGAGCCTTCCTACTTCTACCTCATGCATTGATGCTGTTTCTGATTTTGCTTGGACCCAGATTTCTTTTCCCTGCCACCCCCAGCTCCAGGAGGCAGGAGCCTGTTTATTTTAATACCTGGTGTGGCACTTGGGAAAGATCACACCTCCCCCGTTGTTACCCGTTTCTGTCTCCTCAACACTAATCCTAGAATCCCAACCAGCCCCCAGACATGTTATTAGCAACAAGGATGTTTCTTGAAAAGTTTCCGAGTTGGCTCTAAACTTGCCATCTCAGTTTCTCATTTAGCTTTTGCCCTGCCATTCTTGATGCTGCCAACAACGGGAAGGCTAATTCGGGGGTTGATTCAACCCAGATGGACTTAAATTCCAGAAGTGTCCTGTGAGACAGGACTGCCCAATATCCTGGGACTGAGAGAACTCCACTCACCCTCTGTTCCCACTAGGTACGGGGTGTTACAGGATAATGTTCAAATCCAGCCTTTGGCTTTCCCTCCCTTATTTCATTAACTCTCCACTTAAGGTTAGATCCAGGATCTAGCCAAACAGCCTCTGAAAGCCCAGCGGGGTCCTCAGCTATGATGGAGCAGGGGTGGACTAGGCAGGTTCAGATCCTCGTCCCTTCTGTCCCACTCTGTCCAGGCCTCAGATGCTGCAGGTGGGTCCACGCGTCCGCAGCCATCAGGCCTTCTCAGCTGAACCTGAGCCACGTGAGGCTCAAGGTCAGACAGACCCAAGGACAGGGCCTCTCAACCAAGGTAATCCTAATGATAGAGAGCAAACAGGCCCCTAGGGGTGTACATTCTTAGCCCAAAGTGACTCTCAGCAACCCAAAATGACTTAACTAAATCTTACATTCAGGGAATTTTTGCATTTTATGTTAATACTATGGCTGTTTTTATATAAAAATAATGCTTCAAATGATCTATCACTGAAGGCCAGTATGAGGCCCCATAATGAACCTGTGGCTCTGTGTTCCCCTACTAGAGCTAAGTTGAGAAGCTTCTGAGAAGGCTGGCCCCACCGTCAGAGTGTGAGCATTGCACGAGTTCTCATTTCTAGTCCAGCTTGGGCTGAAACAACCAGGATGGAGGGTTGTGGCCGGGGTAATAGACATAAAACCTGGGGTCCGTGGGCAGGGTAAGGATTAAAGACTGTCAGATACAATGGGGGGACAGGTAGTGCCCTGGATGATTTAATCAAGGTAGGAGGCTCTCAGTGACCCCATTGTGATCCCACACGGCCAGTAAATCTGATTTCTCATCGCAAAAGTAGCACTCCAGGAGGAACTGTATCCTCCTCAGCCTTGTATTTGCTTCTAGCTGCTGCCCTGGGCCTTCTCCTCATACCCCCTCCCCAACCCCCTGGGACCCCACCCAGAATAAATGGAAACACTTTGCCAAGGTGGTGGTCAAGCTCCTCTAGGAATGGCTGTGTGTCTCTAAAAAAGGCCAGAAAAGATAAAGTCCACACAGTGAGACTGACAACATGCCAGGCAATGCATTATGGACTTTAACATCGTAGCTCATTTATGCTGTGGGGACAACTGGTCACATCTTCGTTTTACAAATGAGGCAGTAGAGCCTGGAGAATTCAGGTGACTTGTCTTCAGTCACATAGTAAGTGGTAAGGCCAGGGTTTAAATCCTGATCATCCGATTCGGAAGCCCAGGCTCATAACCACCGTGCTTTCTGTCTGGACGGGAGAGGGTGGGAGCAATGGGGAAAGTGCCCAAAATGCAGAGCCCAAAGGGAGGAGAAGAACTGGGTTCTGTGAGGAAGCTGGAGCCCCACGGGTAACAGAAAGTGGTGGTGGGGGATGCTGGGTCCCAGGGGCTTCCCCCTCCTCCTCCCCCTCCCCTCTGCCCTGCAGGCGTCTAAAATGTGACTCTGACCAGGTTGCTGCCCTGCTTCAACACCCTTCAGTGCCTTCCCAGCCAGCCCAGGACTAGATCCAAACTCCCTCCCCGGCAATCAAAGCCTTTGTGACCTCACCTCAACCCACCTCTTGGCCTCCTCTCACTATGCTTGCGGCCCCCTGGGCGCCTGTCTCGTTCCTAGACTCACTTCTCAAGCCTCTGTAATTGCTCCCACTTCTCTCACCTTCAAGCCCACCTCTCCTACAACATCCCCCACCCTGCCCCCCCCAAATCCACTTCCTTCAAGGCTCCTTCCTTGAAAGTTGCCTCCTCGGAAGCCTCCACTGACGCCTCTCAATAATCAACCCACTCCGTCTGCCCTCCCCCAGCATCTTAACTTTCACACAGCACCTTAGCACTGCCTGTTTGCTTCTGGTCTCCCCACTGGACTGTGAGGACCATGCCAAGTTCGTCAGTGGCTGCCCAGCTAGGGACTCCCAATCTTTGTATTCCACATTTTGCACTTCAGTAAGACAAGTTACTCAGCCTCCATCAGCCTCAGCTATCCCATCTGTGAAACGGAGTAAACAGAATCTACCTTATAGAATTGTTGTGAGGATTAACTCTGAGGATGCAGGCAAAGCTCAGAGCACGTTGTCTGGCACACAGTACACACGCTCAGTAAATGTTAGCTACTGATGATGAATGACGCGGATGACGATTGTTTTAGAATGACTAGAGGGGTGAGACTGCCCTCACCCCTGGCAAATGCTGCTATCTGCCAGTCTGGAGAGGAGAGGGGAGCAGTAATTCTAGGGGTGTGGAGGTCATTCCTTGGCAGGAGAAAAGCTTTGCTTTGCGCTAGCCTAGTCTGCCTTTCTTCACGGCGTCCCGCAGTTCACCCTTTGCTCAGTCCTCCAGTGGCGTGGAGAAGAGTCTGGATGCCGTCTCTGGCACACAGTGGGCGCCCGGCAGTAACTGACTGGCTGGACTGGGAGGGTCAGAAGAGAGACCTAGAGAGGGTGTATGTTTTGGGGGTGGTGGGGGATATGGAGTGAAGCAAAAGGCTTTAGGGCCTCTCCGGTCCCTTTCTTCCCCCCACCTCCGGGTTAGAGCTAAAAATATCGCAGGGGGAGTCGGGAGCGGGGTGAAGGTCGAGGCCACGGATTAAAGAAGAATTCGCCAAGGGCCGCCCCAGAGAATCTGTCAGGCTCAGGGACCCAGCGGAACGCCAGCCACCACCCCCCACCCCCCGCCCCTCCGCGCTCCTCCTCCTCCCTCCAGCGCGAGCGGGCGGCGCGCTCCGGAGGGAGAGCAGCCC